CATGGAAAATGATAAAGCTTTCATAAAAGAATCTAGCACTGGTTAAACAATGAATGAAATATTTGTGAGTTTTATCTAAGTATGTCGTTTGCAAAAAAATGCAAGTTACTTTTGAATGGCCATCACTGGAGGACGAAGTTACATTGCACAGCATTTTTGATTCAAGTATGGACAGAAAAAAAAACAACTGAAGATACAAAGTCACATATGGACATATAAAGTCATATTGTAAGATATAAAGTCCCAATTGTGAGATATAGTGTCACTAAAACATGTAAGACATGATGAAATTGATATTTATCTTTTTCTTCTTCTAGATGATCATGACAATGACTCAACAGATGCTACAACATCAAACGGTAAATAAGTCTATGAGCTCAGTTATGTAAGAATGAAGTGATGCCTTTGTGATGTAAAATGCATTAAATGTATGTACTTTCAATTTTTTGCCATCTCTAGAGGAACACACTGATGAAAACACTGATGCAGACAGCCATGACGCTGCAGACGGTACGTCTCATGGGTCTAAAGCACTTCATTTTCAGCTTTACTATTGCTTACACACCTCAAGTATTATATTTTGGCACACAACTCACCATTTGTGCTAAAGACATGAATGATTGTTACCTGTTACTCTCTGATTGGGCTGAATTCTCAAAGAATTCTGGGAAATTGTGAATTGACTGCCTCAATTCTTTCAAAACGCTTCTTTCTGTCTAGATGATGATGAAGTCAGGGTTGAAGATGGCACAGGTAAGTCACTCACTCATTTGCCTCCTCACATCATAGTTGTCTCAGATTTTTCTCCCAAAATTCCTTATCAGACATAAGTGGAACAGATACAGTAAGTGATACAGTAAGAGTATAGATCTGGCACTAGTCTGCCAAATCCATACATGTACATAATTTTGTCTCAAATATATTTTGTTTCATTTCATACTTAAAACTGTGACTTCTGATTTCATGAGAAATGATAACACTTGTCACATCCTATTTTTTTATTTATTTACTTATTTTTTTTCAGATGCTGCTTCTAAAACACACGAACCAGATCATCTTGATGACACAACACAAGGTAATGACTCTTCTTAAAACACTTACTTTTCAGGGAATGGGAGGTCAAAAGAGATCTTTACACATGCTAATCTCTGTTCCTCCCTTTCTGCAGGATCAGATGATGGCAGCAAAACCCCTATGCCAAGCTCCTAGCGACCAGGACTCTACAAAAGCACTGTAACAGGTTACGTAATCATATATTAAAAGCTCTACATAGGCCTTACTTTATGTTTTTAAAGACAACATATTTCAATTTCTATTCTTACCGTTGTCATAAAAGCGCCGGTCTCTTACCCCATTGTCTCTGGTTACTTCATCTATAATCATAAGTAATCATACTTCTAACTTTATGTTTTTTTCACATTTTTATATTGCAGTCTCCTGAACAATGAATGTACATTTGAAGGCAATTATAGCATATCAGTTGTATCAAATCAAATTCTAAGACAAACAATAATAATAAAGGGTAAATCAGCATATTGATAAGCAATTAACATGCATTTTGTGCATTATAAATCAACCAATCAAAGTAGCCTACATTCAAGGATTTACAGTAAAGTTTAGTAGTTTACAGTTCACTCTATTTTTGCTTTTTTATTTCTCGTTTCTGTTATTGTATGACGGTAGTGACCTATTTCTGTCTTAAAATGAGCAAAGTCTTTTTCAATGCCTCTTTACATTTGTGGATAAAGAAATTTACATGCGAGTCATTTATACATGTCAAACAGTCCGTTGTGCTTCTTGATATTGCAAACTGGCTTACTTCCGCGTTCCAAAAAAAGATGGATGACATACCCAACACAGACATTTGAAGTCACCTGTATCGCCCTCTGGAGTCTTGCGGTGTTACTGCCCCAATAACAACAACATTCATGACTTCACTGATGTCCTAGCATAAAGTAGCCCATTTAGAATTTGGCTCAAGCATGTATTGTGCATTGGAAATGCTGTCTAGGTAGGCAGCACACTTGGTTTTGGAACAGAGCTATTGTTCAACAAAGAAAACAAAAAAGACATAAAACTCATAAGACATTATAATTGATATAATTGAATAACTGATATATTAACTATATAATTTTTGTGTCTCATTGCAGATTTTTCCTGGAGAGACGTAAATAGTTCCACCTGAGACAGTCAAGATAACCAGAGTTTCACATCCCATTAAAACACATTGACACGTCCCTCTCGTCCTCTCTCTCTCTCTCTCTCTCTCTCTCATATGGTGAAGGTTCCTTTCTAAGGGTTCTGGGATGCAGATTAAATTATTCGGCTGTTTGCTGTACATTCCATTTTTTTTTACTTTGTCCTAATTCTAAAACTTTTGTATCTTTTGATATATTAATTTTACCAGTTTTAGATGGAAATGCATGGTGAACAGAGAGGGTCTGGAATTGCATACCTCATGCATTTGTCTAATTGCGTAGGGTCTAAATATATTTCGTTTCGAGTGACACATTAAACTTAGAGAGTAGAACTAAAAGAAGGAATTTTGAGAAAGCTACACGATTTGGGTCTGGTGAAAATGTTGATCTGTCAAACCTGTGATGGTTCCACTGGTTTGGCCACATGGTGTCCCCATCCTTGGCACTGACTGAAAGACTGCAGCTGCTGCAACGAGAACCTTCCCTCTTGCTCTCAGATAAACGCCGGCCTGAAATGTCACAGAATGAGATATTTTCTGCCCACCCAATGATTTGAGACTGTACAGACAATTGTAATTTCTGATAGAATCTCTGATGTTTATGTCTCTGTGGAGGAATACTAATAAACTAGCAATGTAAGAGCACAGATTGTTCCGAAAACTGTCAAAAAAAATAATTTTGTATAGATTTACAAGAAGTCATTTTAATATGTACACAGGGAGCAAATCTAATAAAGACTGGGTTGTCAGAAAATTAAACGACCATGGAGTATTTTTTTTATTTTATATATTTATTTGGTGTGTGTGTGTGTGTGTGTGTGTGTGTGCGTGAACTAAACCACAAGCACATGCACATCTTATTCTGGCTTTTTAAATTTAATTACAACAATTTTCAACAACATAGTCACAAGATGATAATAATAAAAACAAAACAAGAAAATAAGAAAACAAATAATTAAAATAAATAAAAATTAAATTCAGTCCCCCATGCAATCCAATATATAGATACTACACCAAAAATAACAAAATAGTTGATATATTTATAGCTTTATCTTAGTAATACGTATTATCTCACTTATTTTCAAAGTATTTCAAATACTTTGTGTCAGTTTATTATGTTGTTTAGTCCAGCCCAACACAATTCTTTACCTGAAGAGCAAAAGGGGGCTCTTTTTGGTTTATTTCAACTAAAAATAGACACAATTATTAAAAATTCAAATCATTAGCGACAAAGAATGATTTATTAATTCATACAGATGGACCAGAACGACTTCATTGTCAAATAAGAATGCGTTTCACCTGGCTAACTGGATAAATTTGTTTGAAATACCTTTAATATTTAGGTTTAGGTCAGTCTAGTTTATATACGTAAAGAATAAGTCTATATTAGGCCTATATAAATAAAGTTGCTCTCCTAGTATATAAAAATATAAATATATATATATATATTAAAGTCTATATGTAAATCTATATATAAGGCAGAAAATGTGAACTGTATATATAAATCATTATATAAATAAAGTTTATATATAGAGAGTAAAATAAGATAATTATAATATAGATTTTTTTTAATTTATTGATTTTGGATTTGGTTAATAAATGTTTTATAAACCTACATAAACAAATAATGTATGTATGTATAATATATAATATAAAATAAAATAAGTGTGTGGTTTCGTGTGTGTGTGTATGTATGTATACATATATATATATATATATATATATATATATATTCCAAGTAATATACTTTATACATATAAATACATAGCTTTTAAATTTTAGGATGGGGTCCTCGCATGAGGATGATATTATTTGGGGGTCCGTGGCATCTAAAAGATTGAAAAACCCTGGTCTAGTGTAATAATTTGATAAGCTTATTTTGTCATCCAGCATTGGAGTGTGATAGACCCTCCCATTCCACACTTCGGGTCATCAGTTAAATAATAACTGAATTATTCAGGTATTTGAAGTGTTTTTTTGTTTTTTTTTTAACACTACTTAGACTGTTTATTCTACAAAATGTCATACGTATACAGCATTAGTTACCCAGATGATCAGCTGACAGTGGTGCCATAATGACGGAGAGCATTAAGACATTTCTGACTGCTGAGTGCTGCGACTGACCACTCAGAATCAAGAATTCTGGAGCAATACAATCTTCTGTTGTTGTATCCGGAGTGAGAGAATTGGAGACAGTTTAATGTTTTGTTTTTTTCAAAAATTACATCAACTCTGTATTTATTTTGCTTAGAAAAAGTAACGCCGATCAAGTTCTTTAAATGATTAGATAGTATTAATTTGCATTTCATGCTTGCTGCCTTATCACAAACAAGGCTAGATATCGGAATGAATATATTTTATTAAAACAAAAAAGACGTGTGAGATCCAGAAGACAGAAAGTAAGTTCTTCAAAAGTTAAAATCGCTGCTCCTCTCAGATGTTCACGATACAGAAGAACATTGAGTTTTACAAAACGTTCCTTTTTATTGATTGGGGTAAATCTGAACAACCAGGCAAGAAAACTTGAGTGTTTACAGACGAACCAAAAAAAGAACAATAAATAGTCTGTTAATGAAGATAACCAGTTCTTCTCTAAGTACATAACACACAGTATCTTGGAAGTGGCATACAGGTTTGTATTTCACCGGAAAGTCTGAGCATTGTTTGGAGTTTAATCCTGAATGCTGATTGAATTTGTTAACTTTGTATCAGTTTTATATTCTAAACCCACTCTGTCCATACAAAATTAATACACATTTACAAAGATTTACAGCATGGAATCTAGCATAAAGTTAATGGGAGCATGTCGCCATCTCACCTAGAAGAGCAGATCAAAGGCATTGATTCATGGTGCAGACAGGCACAATACAAACAGGGGCATAATGTACACATGAGGTATCCTCTCGAGCCAGGGAAGCTGATCACTGAAGCACAAGGTAAATGAATCTATTAATAAAGTAGCTTTAAATATTTTTTTTATTGGTTCAATTATAGGGGAACTTCCTGGCATGTAAAAAATATCACCATCATCCTTTATCTTTTAGAAGTTTGGATCAGATTCATAAAACAAATAACAGTTTAAAAAAATAAAAAAAACAGCACCTTTGTTTGAACCTCATTCTCACAGTTCTTCTAGTCCAGGGCGCATGATGATGATGTCATCAGTGATGTCACTAGCAATGTTCTCACATCTCTCTGTACTGTGAGGTGGGACAGAGCAGCAGCGGCTAACATTGCCAACTTAAAACTTCCTTTCAAATGTCAAATCATTCATAAACAATCCTAATGCATACAAAAATTTCACAATATCAGACAGCGGCTGTTCCCTCCCCCCTCACAAGGTGTCCAATGAAGAAAAGGCCTGTGTGCCTCTCTTTCCATGCTTCTTCCCCCTTTCATTGTTTCTTTCTGACTCTCTCTCCAAGATGTTCTTATGCCCCAGTAGAGGGCTTGATTTAAGTGGATGGGCCCTTGACTGTTCCCGCCTCTTGTAGTCTGGGAGAAGTGTAGGCGGAGGCTGCCAAACATGCAGCTGCTTCACAAAATCCAGGAAGTCCAGGAGGACCAGCTTTTCCAGGGCGGCCTGGCTCACCCGCTGCACCATGTGGTCCTCGCTCGCCTGGCCTACAATCACGTGCCACTATATATATATATATATGTATATATATATGTGGTGCTGGAACAATATATATATATATATTTTTTTTTAAAAGCAATAAGCTTTTTTAATGATTTTAGTATTTATCACGTCTAATCTGGTTAGGAGAAACAAATTAACATTATAAACTTATTCACATAAAAGTGATATGATTTATCAGTTGTTTTATTTAAATATAGTAGCCCTATTTAAATAAATAAAGTACTAGTAAAATAAACATTTTGTACATGGAACCATGGTAAAACCATTTCTTTTTTTTCACATGTACCATGGCAATACCATGTTTTTTGACATGCAATCTTTAAAATTCCTTGCTATGTAAATAATTCATGAATAAAACCATGGTATAACGTCAATGTACCTTGGTATTTCCACGGTACAAAGGTAGTACCATGGTATTCTTGGAAGTATCATGGTATATTTCACATTCAATTCTGTATCATAGTATATTAGTATCATCTGATGCAATCACCAAACCATGGTACTTTTTTCATTTAATTCGCCTGTAAGTCAAGTTTCAAGACTTTTGTCTGTAATTATAATGATTTATGTCAGTTTAATGATATATAATAATAAAATACTGGTTTTTTTTTTACATGCAGATTCTGACAAAGACAAACCAGATGGCGACTCGGATGAAAAGAGTGGCGAGAAAGACGAGAAAGACACCGGTAATGACTCCAGTAAAGACTCAGAAGACGAGGGTCAAGAAACCTCTGAGACGCCAGACAAAAGCGACTCAGACACTGATGAGGTGAAACTTTCAGACGACTCCAAAGACCAAGATTCAGAATCGAAAGACACCGACAGCACGGAGAAGAAAGAGAAGGACCAGGACTCTGACAGCGACGCAGACACCAGCAGCGATCAAGACACGGCAGATTCCCCTGATGCAGCAGACGCCAAGGACAGCGCTGAGGATAAAGACAAGGACAGCAGCGACCCGAAAGACACTGAAGATGATAGAGACAGGGAGAAGGACGCCAATGAGAAGGAGGACACCAATGAGACGGGCAGCGATAGCGATGAGGGAAAAGATAAAGAGGACCAATCCAAACCAGACGAGCAGGACAAGGAAGACACCAGCTCAAAAGAAGACGCCACAGCCAGTCAGTCTGACGAAAGTCCACTGGAGGAAATGACAGAAGACAAGCAGGAAGACAACCCTGAGTCTGACAGCTCCAGTCTAGACTCAAATTCAGACTCGGACTCTGACAGCAAAGATAAAGAGCAGGACAAAGAGAAGAACAGCACAGAGTCCACAGACACAGAAAGCTCCGACAGCGACAGCAAGAGCGACACAGACAGCTCAGAAACAGGAGGGGAAGGTAAACATTCAAGCCTTCACCTTTTACGGTCATTAAACCACAATATCAATCGACTGATTAATGCTTTTATGGCTCTAGATACTGATGAAGACAATGACTCCAGCGTGGAAAAGGAGAAACAAGGTATTTACTGATAATAAATATGGAAGACCATTTGTAGCTCAGAGTAAAAAATAAATCCAGATAATTGTGAGAATGTTTAAAATAAGAATAAAGTCACATTGTGCAGTATGAAGTCTCAAATGAGATATATAAAGTCATAATATAAAGCCATAATTGCAGGACATAGTCATTTTGTGTTATATAAAGTCACAATTTTGAGTTTTAAAGTCATATTGTGAGATATAAAGACAGTTAAAGATATGAAGTCACATATTGAGGTATAAAGTCATAATTGCATGATATCAAGTCAATTTCAGATTTAAGATGCAACAGTTGACAATATAAAGTCACATGTTGAGATATAGTCACAACTGAAGATAAAGTCACAATTTTGAGATATAAAGTCACATTTTCACATAAAGTCATATTGTGAGATAAAAAGTCACAATTTAATAAAGAAAGTCACAATTGTGAGATATAGTCATAATTGGGATAAATTCATAAATGAAGATGTAAAATCATGATTGTGAGATATAAAGTAAAAACTGTCAAAAATAAAGTCATAATTGAAGATGAAAAAGTCAAGGTTGTGAGATCACATTTTGACGAAGTAATATTCTGAGATGTAAAGTTATTATTGAAGATATATATATAAAGTCATAATGGTAACACTTTAGAATAGGGAACACATATTCACTATTAACTAAGAGTTTCCCCTGTAGAAACTCCGAAATTGCTGCTTATTAATAGTTAATAAGGTAGTTGTTAAGTTTAGGTATGGGGTAGGATTAAGGGATCTAAAATATGGCCATGCAGAATAAGGCATTAATATGTGCTTTATAAATATTAATAAACAGCCAATATGCTAGTAATATGCATGCTAATAAGCAACTAGTTAATAGCTGGTCCTTAAAATAAAGTATTACCGTCATAATTACAAAGACATAAAGTCATAAATGAAGATTTAAAGTCACTGTGAAATAGAAAAATAAACAAAAGGGGCTTCCGTAGATATAAATTCACCGGCAGTCTGTACTGTTACAGAAAAAAGCTGTGAATTTCTAATAAATGAATGTCTAAACCTACAGAGTCTCCTGATGGTGCATCAATAGAGACAAATGACTCTGACTCCAGCGGTAAGACAAACTACAACATTTACTGTTTACACAAAACACCTTAATTTCAATGCTAACTGCGAAGCAGATGTGATGTACAACACAACAGGCAATAAATTGTTATACTCCATGTAAATCTGAGGGTTTTTTCACTTGTCTTCACAACAGACATGGAAAATGATAAAGCTTTCATAAAAGAATCTAGCACTGGTTAAACAATGAATGAAATATTTGTGAGTTTTATCTAAGTATGTCGTTTGCAAAAAAATGCAAGTTACTTTTGAATGGCCATCACTGGAGGACGAAGTTACATTGCACAGCATTTTTGATTCAAGTATGGACAGAAAAAAAAACAACTGAAGATACAAAGTCACATATGGACATATAAAGTCATATTGTAAGATATAAAGTCCCAATTGTGAGATATAGTGTCACTAAAACATGTAAGACATGATGAAATTGATATTTATCTTTTTCTTCTTCTAGATGATCATGACAATGACTCAACAGATGCTACAACATCAAACGGTAAATAAGTCTATGAGCTCAGTTATGTAAGAATGAAGTGATGCCTTTGTGATGTAAAATGCATTAAATGTATGTACTTTCAATTTTTTGCCATCTCTAGAGGAACACACTGATGAAAACACTGATGCAGACAGCCATGACGCTGCAGACGGTACGTCTCATGGGTCTAAAGCACTTCATTTTCAGCTTTACTATTGCTTACACACCTCAAGTATTATATTTTGGCACACAACTCACCATTTGTGCTAAAGACATGAATGATTGTTACCTGTTACTCTCTGATTGGGCTGAATTCTCAAAGAATTCTGGGAAATTGTGAATTGACTGCCTCAATTCTTTCAAAACGCTTCTTTCTGTCTAGATGATGATGAAGTCAGGGTTGAAGATGGCACAGGTAAGTCACTCACTCATTTGCCTCCTCACATCATAGTTGTCTCAGATTTTTCTCCCAAAATTCCTTATCAGACATAAGTGGAACAGATACAGTAAGTGATACAGTAAGAGTATAGATCTGGCACTAGTCTGCCAAATCCATACATGTACATAATTTTGTCTCAAATATATTTTGTTTCATTTCATACTTAAAACTGTGACTTCTGATTTCATGAGAAATGATAACACTTGTCACATCCTATTTTTTTATTTATTTACTTATTTTTTTTCAGATGCTGCTTCTAAAACACACGAACCAGATCATCTTGATGACACAACACAAGGTAATGACTCTTCTTAAAACACTTACTTTTCAGGGAATGGGAGGTCAAAAGAGATCTTTACACATGCTAATCTCTGTTCCTCCCTTTCTGCAGGATCAGATGATGGCAGCAAAACCCCTATGCCAAGCTCCTAGCGACCAGGACTCTACAAAAGCACTGTAACAGGTTACGTAATCATATATTAAAAGCTCTACATAGGCCTTACTTTATGTTTTTAAAGACAACATATTTCAATTTCTATTCTTACCGTTGTCATAAAAGCGCCGGTCTCTTACCCCATTGTCTCTGGTTACTTCATCTATAATCATAAGTAATCATACTTCTAACTTTATGTTTTTTTCACATTTTTATATTGCAGTCTCCTGAACAATGAATGTACATTTGAAGGCAATTATAGCATATCAGTTGTATCAAATCAAATTCTAAGACAAACAATAATAATAAAGGGTAAATCAGCATATTGATAAGCAATTAACATGCATTTTGTGCATTATAAATCAACCAATCAAAGTAGCCTACATTCAAGGATTTACAGTAAAGTTTAGTAGTTTACAGTTCACTCTATTTTTGCTTTTTTATTTCTCGTTTCTGTTATTGTATGACGGTAGTGACCTATTTCTGTCTTAAAATGAGCAAAGTCTTTTTCAATGCCTCTTTACATTTGTGGATAAAGAAATTTACATGCGAGTCATTTATACATGTCAAACAGTCCGTTGTGCTTCTTGATATTGCAAACTGGCTTACTTCCGCGTTCCAAAAAAAGATGGATGACATACCCAACACAGACATTTGAAGTCACCTGTATCGCCCTCTGGAGTCTTGCGGTGTTACTGCCCCAATAACAACAACATTCATGACTTCACTGATGTCCTAGCATAAAGTAGCCCATTTAGAATTTGGCTCAAGCATGTATTGTGCATTGGAAATGCTGTCTAGGTAGGCAGCACACTTGGTTTTGGAACAGAGCTATTGTTCAACAAAGAAAACAAAAAAGACATAAAACTCATAAGACATTATAATTGATATAATTGAATAACTGATATATTAACTATATAATTTTTGTGTCTCATTGCAGATTTTTCCTGGAGAGACGTAAATAGTTCCACCTGAGACAGTCAAGATAACCAGAGTTTCACATCCCATTAAAACACATTGACACGTCCCTCTCGTCCTCTCTCTCTCTCTCTCTCTCTCTCTCATATGGTGAAGGTTCCTTTCTAAGGGTTCTGGGATGCAGATTAAATTATTTGGCTGTTTGCTGTACATTCCATTTTTTAACTTTGTCCTAATTCTAGAACTTTTGTATCGTTTGATATATTAATTTGACCAAATTTAGATGGAAATGCATGATGAACAGTGAGGTTCTAGAACTGCGTATCTCATACATTTGTCTGTTTGCGTAGGGCCTAAATATATTTTGTTTTGAGTGACACATTAAACTTAGAGAGTAGAACTAAAAGAAGGAATTTTGAGAAAGCTACACGATTTGGGTCTGGTGAAAATGTTGATCTGTCAAACCTGTGATGGTTCCACTGGTTTGGCCACATGGTGTCCCCATCCTTGGCACTGACTGAAAGACTGCAGCTGCTGCAACGAGAACCTTCCCTCTTGCTCTCAGATAAACGCCGGCCTGAAATGTCACAGAATGAGATATTTTCTGCCCACCCAATGATTTGAGACTGTACAGACAATTGTAATTTCTGATAGAATCTCTGATGTTTATGTCTCTGTGGAGGAATACTAATAAACTAGCAATGTAAGAGCACAGATTGTTCCGAAAACTGTCAAAAAAAATAATTTTGTATAGATTTACAAGAAGTCATTTTAATATGTACACAGGGAGCAAATCTAATAAAGACTGGGTTGTCAGAAAATTAAACGACCATGGAGTATTTTTTTTATTTTATATATTTATTTGGTGTGTGTGTGTGTGTGTGTGTGTGTGTGCGTGAACTAAACCACAAGCACATGCACATCTTATTCTGGCTTTTTAAATTTAATTACAACAATTTTCAACAACATAGTCACAAGATGATAATAATAAAAACAAAACAAGAAAATAAGAAAACAAATAATTAAAATAAATAAAAATTAAATTCAGTCCCCCATGCAATCCAATATATAGATACTACACCAAAATAACAAAATAGTTGATATATTTATAGCTTTATCTTAGTAATACGTATTATCTCACTTATTTTCAAAGTATTTCAAATACTTTGTGTCAGTTTATTATGTTGTTTAGTCCAGCCCAACACAATTCTTTACCTGAAGAGCAAAAGGGGGCTCTTTTTGGTTTATTTCAACTAAAAATAGACACAATTATTAAAAATTCAAATCATTAGCGACAAAGAATGATTTATTAATTCATACAGATGGACCAGAACGACTTCATTGTCAAATAAGAATGCGTTTCACCTGGCTAACTGGATAAATTTGTTTGAAATACCTTTAATATTTAGGTTTAGGTCAGTCTAGTTTATATACGTAAAGAATAAGTCTATATTAGGCCTATATAAATAAAGTTGCTCTCCTAGTATATAAAAATATAAATATATATATATATATTAAAGTCTATATGTAAATCTATATATAAGGCAGAAAATGTGAACTGTATATATAAATCATTATATAAATAAAGTTTATATATAGAGAGTAAAATAAGATAATTATAATATAGATTTTTTTTAATTTATTGATTTTGGATTTGGTTAATAAATGTTTTATAAACCTACATAAACAAATAATGTATGTATGTATAATATATAATATAAAATAAAATAAGTGTGTGGTTTCGTGTGTGTGTGTATGTATGTATACATATATATATATATATATATATATATATATAGGCCTATCATGTACATCAAACATTGCAGCAAAGCAAGTATAGTTTGCGAGGCTGCACACAGAGTTAAACATTATCAGATGGCCTTATGAATGGATCATATTTCAGCGATTTTAGTCAGAGAAAGAAAGTCTTATCTAAGCTCTTATGTCTTAACTTTTTTAAAGAATTAACCACAGACTAGATTCCTTGACCCTTACCCATTGAAAGAGTTAAGTTTCCACGTGTGTTTCCACCGGGTCTTTGGAGCACAACATAATCTCGCGTTACATCTCGGTGGTCTAAACCTGGCCCTGGGGTGAACAAACGAGAGGATGAGGAGGAAGAGGAAGGTGTACCGTGGACAAAAGCCACTAAACAGCTCCGAACAAAGCGCTCGCGGCCCGCCTGTCCGAGCGTGACTTACAGGTCTCTGTGTGCAAATGTTCCCATCACCCCAAACTTACGGGAGGCCGATGAAACCAAAAGCTGGGTTTCAAAATGGAGACGGCCAGTGAAGCTTGTCCCTCAGTGCATTAGCTTCCCCCGCGGCCCACTTTCCCAACAGGGCGGAAGGGCGCGAGAAGCCTTTAGAAATATTATACTTTCATTTAAAGCGTAAGAGGGTTTAAACAACCACTCCTATCTAGTGGCTGATATCTGTGAGAAAAGACCTACCTTTTACTGACAAACAGCGACACACTTGGTCGACCGTTTTTGCACGTAATATAAGACGCAAGCGAATGACTGTTTGTTTAATATCCAAAACTAACAACGAGATAAAAACCCATTCAAACTCCAAAAAAGACACGTTCATAAGAGTGTCTGTTATCTGGAAACTCATTTATCAGCATCTGTTGACAATCCATTGAGAGCCAATCCTGATTTCAACACTGTGTTTGGCTTTACTGAGGGTCGACACAGGTGTGTGATAAGTTCTGTCCACATTCGCTTTTCTTTTCATTTATTCAATTCATTTCTCTGTCAGTCATTCAAATAGTTTTGAGTTCTTAAAAGTTCTTAAAGGAACAGTTCACCAAAATTCTGTTATTGTTTATGGAACATGAAGATTTTTATGTTGTTCTTTTGCAAACACCTGTTTGAGATTTTCCTTCCATAACATATCGTCATTCAGACTGGAGAAAGAAACCATCCAAAATACACATTTAAGTGTTTATTACACTTTATCTGTGTCTGTAGGTCTCAATTCATTCATATCTTTCATGGGAGTTTTCTAAAAAATAAAAAATAAAAATAAATAAATAAAAGTTTTTTTTTCTTCTGCATTGAGCCAGAATTCTGAAGGTTTGCAGTTTGTTTGTTCATATGGCCTATAATTCGCCTGATTTTTGGCTGTGGACATTGTTTTCTGATTTATGGAGATATCCAAAAATTTTAGATATCTCAAAAATGCATCCAAAAAACCTTTAACTCAACAAAATATAACAAGAATTTTGAATCTGGCTTTTATACAATTTCGGGTTCTGGAATTGTATGCAAATTAGGGCATATTTAATTAGATAATGCCTCATTTGCATATATAAACAGAACATTTCAGAAAATGTGTAATACAAAACAATAGTCCTAATGTACTGTGATGCTTTCATTAGACAACTTAGAATTGTGTGCAGGTACTGCCAAAAAGTAACATCAACTAGAAAGTAAATTAAATCATCACTTTTGGCAATGCAGTAATCATTCTGTGGTTGTTTAATATCGGTGGTGAACATTCATTCGAGACCTCAGGCAGGAAATGAGAACTAGTCTGACCCTCTGATCAAGTTTAACGTCTACCTGTCCACACTGTTCCTCTGTCCTGCTATACGACATATTAGATTTGGCCCACGGTGATTTATTACAGAACGGTTCAGGGACCCAAAACTCCAGTGCCGCATAGTAATTTCAGACGGATCGGGTTTCTAAACAGAATGGCTCCTTCAGGACGATCAGAGGTGGCTCGTGACCACTGAGACAAAAAGTCCTAACAGAGCTCTGGATGAAGCTGAAATCTGAGAATAGAACAGGAATCTGTATGAGAAAACGCGCATGTGTGTGTGTGTGTGTGTGTGTGTGTGTGTGTGTGTTTGTGCTGGACCACAGTAGAACTCACCTTTTGCTTCCTACATGCTCTCCTGTGGTCCACTGTAGTCTCTGAGGATTTTTGTGTTTACCCAAAGTTTTTACTTTTTTTTTTTAATACTGAAATGTATTTTAAAAATAATATTTAAAAACAACATTTTTATATTTTAAAACATGCAAAAAACGGCCAAAAATATATTTATGTAATATACTTAATATATTTTAAATATACTTTAAATATATTTTATATATTCTATATAATTCTACTTATTCTACATGCATACACACACACTTAGAATATTATATAATATATTTTATTATTATACAATCCTTTTTATGTTTTAAAATATTATATAAATATAACAAAAATATTATATAAAATAAGAATTTAAAAATAATAAAAAGTTTTAAAAATATTATTTTTTTTAATTTTGACAATACATTGCCACAATATTTACACAATTTATTTAAAAAAAAAAATAGCAAAATACATATGCATAACACTGACACAAATTTTCTTGCCTCTAAAGTAATTTTTGTCATTTTAAACAAAATATATTGTCATTTTGGAAAAATATATTTCTGCCATATAGGATACAACTGTGGTGGTCCGTCCTTTTCCATATGGTCCGAGTATAGTCTCTGTATACGGCAGCCACCCGTTGTATACCGCCTGACCCCACCGGCCAAGCTGAACAGATCCAGGACTGGCACTTCTAATCTCGTCACCCAAGGTTGGCTCCAAGAGCGCTATGGTTTCAAGCACCTGACAGAGAGCTTTTGTTTGAGATCAGGCAGGCCTGCAGGAATGAGGGAAACCACAGGACATGAAACTGGTCAGCAGAAATCTGGCCACATCTGCCAACAAGACCAGCTGATGTGTAATAATACAGCTTTTCAATATGTCTTGTCATTCCACACTGCTACTGTGATGGACACTGTACCAGCAGGTGGACATTTCTACTAGCAATAGTAGACTACTACTCTAGTGCTCAAGTACATGTAAAGCATTTTTGTGAACCACTGATTTAAGTTATCTTTCAACAGCAAATGAGCCTAATATTTCTGCATAAGCAGGAAAACAAAAGCTAACCGTATAGTCACGCATTATGTAAGCTAACATGTTTTACATGTTGTGGATTCAGGGTTTAATAATGAATACACACAGTATCATTGTAACATAATAGTACAGATCAATCAAAATACACACACATAGTTCACATTTCACATTACAACAAAGAAAGTTTGTTTAGCTCAAGAGCTCATTAGCTTTGCTATGACAAACGTCCAATTAGCTCATCATTCTGTGAGGAGTTTATCACAGAAATGCATTTCAAGGACTGCTGGTGTTTGTTACATTGTAAAACAGGCTTGATGTGAACTGGCACACGCTACAGGAATGCAATCTACTTGCGAGCTGCCAGCTATTGAGTTCCTGCTATGGGACAGGAGCTTTAGCTTATGCAACATAGATATACCATAGTACTTGAATGGACCATGCTAATCCATTAAAACAGCACAAGTGATTCCTAATGTTATTGGCTTTCTTTCCTGAAAGACCTGGCAACATTTGTGGTTCTCGTTTATTCAATATTACGGAAAAAAATGCATAAGTAAATAAATGCAAAAAAAAAAAAAAGTTAGAAATTTCTTTTTAAATTTGTTCTTTATCTTTTTTATATTTGTATACATATTTTTGCTATATTCATGATTTAGGAATATTGTACTTTAAGGTGTAAGAGGTCCTTTTAGATTATATTTTAATACCAATTGTAAAAATCTAAAAACAGTGAAAATAAAAATCATAATAAAATACAAAATAAATGTAAAAAGTAATAAAAAGTTAAAAAAAAAATGGTATTACATTATACATTATCATGATTAAAGCCATAAATAAATGCATAAATAAATATAAAGATAACTCTATTTAAAAATGTTAATAAACAAATTTATGATATAAAATGTCCCAATATTTGTACAGACTATATAAGCAAATAAATAAAGAAAAAAATTAATTAATACAAAAAATAAAAAGGAAAAGAAAGAAAAAAGCCCAAACAAGACTGTACAGGGGACAGTTTATTAATTTTTTCCCCATTCATTTTGTTTTTAGAAATTTTAATACATTTTGAAAATATGATTTATTAAATAAAATCAAATAAGAGCAAGTACTTAATAATAAAGTGCACCATTATTCGTTTTTTGAGTGTAGCAGTTTTTTTGTAAGAGCTAAATCACAAAATACGTATGAAAGAACCATCTGGAAACCTCTGATCCTGAAACCAGCCAGGTCATCTTGTTTTCCAAGGGTGAATAAATGAGAAAACCTGTAACTTCCTGCATGAGTTCCTGTGGCTCTGGTCTCTGTGTGATGTTGTGTATGCTGGCTGTGCCCTCCACTGGCTGAGCTGCCTTCCACCGCCGCCTGCTGGGCCAAAGGGATGATGGGACATACCATGAATAAAGACACTTTTCATCCCAAGTTTTGGTATAATTAGTCAACAGCTAATGTGCAGTAGATATTCATCGTCATTTGGATGCTTGAAGACACTGCAGATCCGATCTGAATATAAATTATGAATCACAAATGTGTCTGTACTCACCTGTCGTTTGATTGGTAGGAGTAGTTTGAATGGCAGTTGCTGGGGTTAGAAGTCCTGCCCCTTACCAATATGGGGGCTGGAAGGGTATAAAATGTATTTTGGTGGCCAGTCAAGCATAAGGAAGTCAAAAGCACGTTTGCTGGTTGCTTTATGTCTGCTGCACAGTGTCCCACATAGACCTGTGCTAAAGATGCTGTCACGGTAAGTCAATGGCGATTGATTTATAACAACCAATATCTCTGAAATTGACTTCAGTGGGCCAACTGATAGCTAACTGATCAATAATTTATTGAGATATGTCAAGAAGGAGCAGTAGATTGGTTCATTAAGATTTTTACGTTTATGCATTTATCCAAAGCAGCTTGCCTTGAATTCAAAGTACATGCATTCATTCTTGCATTCTTTGGGAATCAAACCCATGACTTTGGTGTGCTTTTTTAATAGACCAAAAGCATGTTTAGTGTAGGATTTGATGCATATGACTTATATCTTGTTATAGTTTAAAGTCTGTGTTACTCTAATCATTTGATACTGGGAATCTCATTTAGGAATATAATGTGATAGAATATCCGATAACGGAATACTTTAGCATAAAAACATGCAAACTCAGTGCTAAGTATTACTTTTAACCATTGCTTGTGTTTTTCAAAAGCCCAATCGATGATACATACTTTGTATATAAGTTATAATTATATAAAAATAAAATGAAAAGCATGCATTTCTCAAGAGAATTGTTGGATTTTAATGCCCATTTTCAGCTGTTTTTGAGAAAATGCATGATAAATTGCTAATTGTCTTGTCTACTAAGTGTGACATAACATTAAACAACATCTCATTGTGTTTTCTGGGTTGAATTTGCTTCACATGTGCTTATTCTGGACTCTTATCATTTTGCTTTCACAGAAATCTTGTAATTGCTTCAGTGGCTGTTGTGTTTCTGGCGTCCACCCTATCAACGGCTCCTGTTGAAGGTACGAGCTCTTTTCCCAGAGGGATTATTTAATGACACACTCTTATGTTCAACATACAGCGCCCACACGTCTTTACCCACTCATTAAACTGCTGAATTATTTCTCCGGACAGATAAGGAGCCTGAGGACAATGACTTTGAGGCTGAAGAGGGTGAAGAAGAACTGTCTGAGGAGGAAGAGGGTAGGAGATGAAAGTTCTTTTAGATGTTACCTCATCATCGTCCTGATGAGAGCCGATCGTACCACATCAAGAAGCTCATATTGTGGGCAGTTTGACACTAGATGTGATCCTGCAAAAGGACAAAATGAGAAGTTAACACTATAATGTTCATGATAAACAGTTTTAAAGTAAATCTCTTTTAAAACTTTTTTAAAGTCCGTTTAGCTTTATAAACCCATTGTTAGCACCATAAACGCATTAATGTGAGTAAGCCCAAAGTCTCATAGAGAAAACAAAAGAGCATTTCACTTAAAACTCTATGGGCTCATATTATTCTGATAACAGTCAGCAGATCTGCGAGGGATTCGGGACAGAAAGAGGAGAAGGGCATAACAAAGGAGCGGTTGTTATAAACTGTATCGATTTTCCCTTTTCTTTACAGATGATGATGACTCCAAAGGTCAGCATATGAAGGGTGGGTGACAACTTACCACCATTGTGCAAAACCTCAGTCATCTTTAATAATCACATAATAAGTCATATTTTACTTCAAAAGTCAGTCTTTCTTAATGAGGCTGAGCTATTCGAAACATTTGGGGTTCTGCCATAATCAGAAATTACACTTACAAAAAGTACCATGGTATTATTTCTTGTATACTACGTTTTGTGGACATGGGACCAATGGTAATAGTTTGTTTTTTAAGCTTGATCATTATGATTTTAAAGTATGGTAACCAGACAGTATCATAGTATCTATCAAAGCAGCATGCTATTATATGTTTTTTGGACATGACACCATGGTAAAACCATGTTTTTTGGACAATATATTCTTTTAAGTACTTTGGCGTATCATGTTAATACCATGATATCACTAACAAAAATATTGTGATGTCAAAACATATTACAGTGATGATAATATGGAACTTCGATATACCATGGTATTGAAATTCATGTACCATAATATTTCATATTGATATAGTATTTTCAAAGTTCTTACAAGAGTACCTGGATTTCAGTACCATAGTATGTTTCAAAATACCACAGTATTGGCATCTGATACAACCATGGTACCACAGTACTTTTTGTAAGGTAATTAAGATTTACTAGCATTCAAAAATTGGGATCGGTTTATATATATATATGTATATATATAACAGTCTCTTATGCTCACCAAGACTGCATTTATTTTATCAGAAATACAGTCAAAACAATAATATTGAGAAAAAGTATTACAATTTAAAATAACCATTTTCTATTTGAATATGTTTTAAAATTTAATTTATTCTTGTGAAGGTAAAGCTGAATTCAGTGTCACATGATCCTTCAGAAATCATTACGCTGAAGAAACATTTCAAATTTGTATCCATTTTGAAAACAGTTGTGTTGCTTACTATTTTTGTAACAAAAGACTAAAGTCTTTACTGACACTTTTGATCAGTTTAATGCATAATTTCTGTCAAAAACAAAATCTAATGACCCCAAATTTTTCAGCAGAGTTAATCGATAAATTACAGGGTTAAATAAAGACTAAAGACTGATGATTAGAGCCCGACCGATATGGGTTTTTTGGGGGCCGATACCGATATTAGGGAGCAAAAAAAGACGGATACCGATATATCGTCAACAGGCTCGTATCGGCCGATAATATCGGTTAAACAATATATCGGTCGGGCTCTACTGATGATACTCTATATTTAACTTGTAGCAAAAATAAACATTTAGTTCTAATGTGGTAGCAACATTGCAAAAACGAAACTAAAATCCGATCTAAAATGCACATAAAAGACAATAAAAGCAACTTAAAATGTATATAGCTGGTTTATACAAGATGCAAAACCCCTTAAGCACATGTAAAACGAGTGTTTGTCCTTCTAGAAGCCACCTGGCTGGAAGAGATTGATTGACCTGTGAGAAATGATCTCTGGGAATCTTAAGAATATGTTTCTTGTTCCTCTTCCTCTTTTCCCAAAGGAGCCGGATCGCAGCAGGCCACTGCAGCACCCAAAGGCTTGGGTAAGGTGAAGCTAATCCTCTTTAGAGCTGGAGGCAGAGAACACTGAACCTCTCAGCACTGGAAAATAGTTCACTGGGTGCACCTTACTCAGTAAGCAAAGTCAATCAGTACTTAATCTGGTTTAGGGATCAGGTATGTGGGGATTTTAGCCACATTGCTCAATTTATTAATAAATGTGGAAAGATGGAACATCAGGTGCACAGATCTGTGAAAAAAACAAGCCTGTAGCGCAGCGAGATTGCATGTTTGTTGGGCCAAAGTTTCAGGACCTTGTTTAGACTGAAGGGCTATTTTTCTCCAAGGTATGACTCCTGGCAGCGCCGTCGCGGGCGAATCCCCAAACGGTAAGGAAAGTCTACTCGATAACGCAAAAACAAGTTCTGTTCAGAGTGCATTAGCCTCTCATGGCCTCTGGTGAAAGGTGAATTTGTTGAAAGCTCAATGGCCACTTTTCAGGCCTTTCTGAAGTCCAATACATCTTTTGACAAAACCTTTGCTCTTGTTTCCCAGGTCAGAAACTTAATGGTGGAACTCAAACTGGCCAAGTCTGTAAGTGTGAACCTGATCTATCAGGGGCAAAACTTTCACACAAGTCGTACTTTAGAAAAGCAACACCGACTGACCTTGTGTAAGAAATGCACTACAGAGCTACAATATATGGACAGGGCAGTAGCCGAACATCAGAAGGTCAAATCTAGATATATCTTCTCTTTCATGGCCAATCAAAAACTAAACTAGTGTTTTTGTCATTACAGCATCAGGCAGCACATCAACAGCTTCAAATGGAGCAAATGGTGACCAGCATTTCAATCAGAATTTATTAAAACAGCCCTGCATCTTGAAAAAAACATTCTGTTGATTTGCAAAAAAAGGCCTGTATTACCTAATTTTATTATGCTGATTTCAAAAATATAAATAAAAACTTCCTATCGCATTTTTTCCCCCCACAAAATTATGTTTATCTGCTTTAATGCACTTATCAAAACAACAAAAGCAGCCAAACGTCAAAGGTATCGATAAAACAAGTATTCAAAATGTATAATTTAACTTACAATCTGCAAAGGAGTAGAAAAATATGTTCAAAATAAGTGAATAAATAAATAAGCTTTTTTTTTCACAAAATCTGTAATTTTCTGTTGCTGTTTGTTTGTAATAAAACATCCACAGGTCATGTTTGCATTTTCTTCTGTTGCCGGCCTTAATTCTAACTGTGAAATTAGACATAAAATAATGTCATACATGTGAAAATCGGCTGAGAATGTAACAAATTGTTGTAACCTGGCTCAGAGAAAGACAGAAATCATATCTTTGTGGCAGTTGATAATGGGATAATACTAAATTTCCCAACCTTACAAATGGTTGTAGAATGCAAAAATGCTACAAAATGCACATCATATTTTGTGAGAAAGTGACATGCTAGGGCAAAATAGGCACTATTTTTGGAATCAGCACCCCAAAATTAGTAAGAAACAAGTGTTGGATTTCATTCAGAAAATATGATGCAGGGTGGTGAATAATTAATAAAGTTTTGTTATTTAATTAAACCACTAACTGCATGTCATTGGATTACTGGAGCATTTTTAAGATTGACAGCAATGTTTTATTATTGTACAAAGAATTTCCTCTCAGTAATGTTTCTGTGTGGGTTACAGGAAGCAACGGTAGAGACGGGTACTCTCAGCCATCTGGCTCAAGTTCTCATGGTACTGTACCTGTTCATCTGCTGTAAATATGATTTTCTTTTTACTCTTAACAAGTTTACTGCCTAATCACTGAAATTATTTCACTTACAGATGCAAGTTATGGTGGACAAGATGGGTCCAAATCAGAGATAGTTCCTCCAGGTACCTGATCACTGAATCTAGAATAGAATAGAATAGAATAGAATAGAATAGAATAGAATAGAAAAAAAGTTACACATGTATATGGCATGGCATAAATACTATATACACTAAAAAATACTAATAGGGCTTATTATGTAGTACATTCAATACTAAAATTAAAAAATGAAATGTTATATTCAATTATAATATAATATAATATAATATAAATATAATATAATATAATATAATATAATATAATATAATATAATATAATATAATATAATATAATTTACATACACAGCCAATCAAAAGTTTGGGGTCAGTAAGAATTTATTTGAAAAAAGTCTATTGTGCTTACCAAGGCTGCATTTCATAAAAAATACAGTAAAAACAGTAATACTGTGTATATATAATTGCAATTTAAATTAACTGTTTTCTATTTGAATATATTTTAAAATGTAATTAATTACTGTGATGCAAAGTCTTCAGTGTCACATGATCCTTCAGAAAGCATTCATTCTGCATTCATATCTTTGTGGAAAGAGTTAAACATTTTTTCAGGATTTTTTTTTTTTTTTATGAATAGAAAGGACAGCATTTAGTTGGAAGAGAAATCTTTTGTAACCTTACAAATGTTTTTACTGCCACTTGCAACCTTGCTGAATAAAAGTATTAATTTATTTTATTTTTTTAATTGTTAAACAGTAGTGCATCAAAATTAAGAATGATAAAGAAAATTTTTCTCAGGTGTAGGAGCAGCTGCTAATGGAGGTTCAGGATCTAAAGTCCCTGGTAATGACATTTAGAAACGCATTTTAATTATTGTTCGAAATATGATACCAAATATTAAACATTTTAGAAAAAACAAAAAACAAAACTTACAGCTCTAGAGAAACCCAATATGTTTAATGTGTTTCAGGCACAGACGGGGGCGTCCATTCAGTGTCCATTTCTGTAGGTAAGAGTTGTTCTGTTTATGTTAAGGCAATCGTGGCTTATAATATGTGTTATGCACATAAAATCAAAATATAGCCAAAGGCCTATTAATACTGGAATATCTTGTGCATGTAAATATGGTGGTTCATCTTTCATTCACTTCACAATGAGATATTTTCTTCAATCTCACAGTGTCATCAGGTCAAGGGTCATCAGGCCATATAGCAGCAGGTCATGGGTCAACAATGTTATCCAGCCACACTTTTGACCGACCTTCAGGAGGACAGACATCAGATGGTGTGGGTGTAGTTTCCTCCGAGGTCCAATCACAGCCTACAGGTATTTCAATTAAAACGATGAAATAGTTCATCCAAGAATGAAAATTTGCTGAGAATTTACTGACCCTCAGGCCATACAAGTTGTAGATGAGCTTCTTCGTTGAAACAGATTTAGAGAAGTTTAGCATCATTTGCTCACCAATGGATCCTCTGCAGTGAATGGGTGCCGACAGAATGAGAGTCCAAACAATAAACATAAACATCACAATAATTCACATGACTCTAGCCCATTAATTAACATATTGTAAAGTTACGTGTTTGTAAAAAACAAATCCATCGTTAACCAGTTTTTAACTTCAAATTGTCGCTTCTGGCCAAAATACCGTAATCCATAATAACGCTTCCTCCAGTGAAAAAGTCCATCCCCTGATGTCCTCTCACATCAAAATCCACAGACATATTTGTTTAGAACTGTTTTTGCTTGTAAACGGTGCTTGAACTGTGTATATTTCTCTCTTTATTATGACTGGAGAAAGCAATATTATGGATAGAGGACCCTCGTTTTAGCTGTAAGTAGTGCGGTTTGAAGTTAAAAACATCTTGATGGATTTGTTTCTTACATGTTAATCGATGGACTGGAGTTGTGTGGATTATTGTGATGTTTTTATCAGCTGTTTGGACTCTCATTCTGACGGCACCCATTCACTGCAGAGGATCCATTGGTGAGCAAGTGATGCAATGTTAAATTTCTCCAAATCTGTTCTGATGATGAAACAAACTCATCTACATCTTGGATGGCCCAAGGGTGAGTAAATTCACAGCAAATTTTCATTTTTGGGTGAACTATTCCTTTAAAAATAATTTTACATTAATTATATATAAAGGCTTCAAGTAAAAGTTATACAATTATAATGCTCTTTGCATATGTATGTCTAGGTTCAGAGGGATTCGCTCCGCATAGAGATGGCTCACAGTATGAAAATGGTATGTGTATAACAGGATCTCGGTATTGTATCTCATGGAGGTCATTTCTTACTTCTTAAATGCTGTACAGACTTATACGTGAAAAGATCTTTTATTCTTGCATCAGGGGAAACGGCTCATGATGGATCTCAAATCGAGTCTCCAGGTGATAAACACCAAAGTTTACATGCAGTTTACCAAATGTTTTCTGTTCAATTATAATTGATGTCATAATTATGTAATTATTATCTTGTACATTTAGAAATCCCTGAGATGGAATCTAACGGTGAGTCTTATTGTGCATTAATGCACAGCAAACAATACTGTGCATCATATTAATCAGAACGAGTGATTTAGTCATTTTAATCGGGTTCCTCACAGGTAATGGACACAAACAACTACTGAACGGAGGAGAAACAGGATTTACAGGTGAGGAAACAATGAATATATGGTTTTTAATTGACTGGCATTTCATACAGCATGAAAACAGATTAAAAATATCTCTGATGTTAACCTGCTGTTTTTGATGCAGGCTTGGATCATTTCATGGCAGGCACATCTCAGATACAAGGAACAGGTATAAAAACATGATTTAAAATCCGATATATATATATATATATATATATATATATATATATATATAT